TCTGAGACCTGCTAATTAAAGCCTCAGCAGTTGCTAATTGGGAAGGTGAATGAGTACAGGCTATGGAGAAGTCTGGGTCCTAAATACCTTCCTTCTATTACCCTCCCATATATATATATATATATATACGCCCCAGGTCCCAGCACTCAGTGCTCACGGTCTTTTAATGCTCCTGTGTTGTCTCCAACCAAATTGTATACGATACCAGTAGAGAGCATTCAGGAGTCTTTCAAGGTAAATACTTTCAAGGTAAAATACTTTTTTTCAAGACAATTGTGTATGTGAGATGGATACCTTATATACAAAAAATGCAGTGATCCTATTTGGAGGTGAACAGGTGAAATGTAACAACGGATCAGAGTGATGTCATTAATGATGTAAACATGTTTGAATTACGTAATAAATTGAAGTTAACCCTATGTGTAACCGGTATGTGAAACATACTCTTGTGTAGATAAGTCAGAAAGCAATAAAAGATAACTATAAAAATAAAGTATATACAAATGTTTCAACCCTAACCAAGGGAACATAGATACATAGTACATATTGTCATTAGCTAAATATTAACTCAGTTATATAGCAAACTATTGTCAGTGCAATTTTGAAGCATTATACGCTATGGATTACTTCCATCATGGAGTTACGGCAAATAACTGTACTATATTAATGCATTCTGTAAAACAAAGCTCAATCATATATTATCTTCTAGGTAAAAAACAATATAATGAGTTCTTCTCATTTAAACCAGATGGTGATAATGTTTCCAACATGTATATCCAGAAAGCCTCACGTCTGAGTAACAGGTTATCACGATCTCCTCCTCTAGGTGAGATGGGTATGTGATCTATTCCCATAAAGCGAAGTGAGGACAGGCTATGTCCCATCTCAAGGAAATGCCGGGCGACTGGAGTGCTTGCTGTGCCGCTCAGTAGTGATGAACATATAGTAGACCTGTGACCCCGCATGCATTCCCTTAGGTCATTAGATGTCTTGCCAACGCAAGTGAGACCACAGGGGCATATAATTCTATACACAACATGTGTGGTCCTGCACGTACTTCGGTGTTTAATTGTGTACACCTTTCCAGATTTTGGGTGACAGAAGGTTTTACCCGGTATCATAGAATTGCACG